GTTATGGGTTTTTGATGCCTGATACCTGATCCCTTCGGCACCTTGTGATCCCACAAGCTGGTGTGCTTCTTCCATGTGGTCTTTGTTGCTTCTGAGCTAGATGACAGCTTGTTTACCTTCAAGTCTTTAAGACCCTAGACCAGGGATCCTCAAACTACAGCCCACAGGCCACATGCGGCCCCGCCAAAGACATTTATCTTGCCCGGAGGGTGTTTTTGCCCCGTTTGTTTTTTTACTTCAAAATAAGATATGTGCACTGTGCATAGGAATTTGTTCATAGTTTTCTTTTTTAAACTATAGTCCAACCCTCCAATGGGTCTGAGGGACAGTGAACTGGCCCCTGTTTAAAAAGTTTGAGGACCCCTGCTCTAGACGCTATATCTTTTGATAGCTGGGCTCCATCAGCTTTCTTCACCACATTTGCTTATGCACCCACTTTGTCTTCAGCGACTGTGTTGGGAAGGTGAGCATCATGGAATGCCAGTTTAATAGAACAAAATATTCTTGCATTGAGGGAGTATTTGAGTGGAAGCCCAATGTGTGGTGGACTTTCTTGTGACTCTCTGTCAGTATCTTTATTTGAACCCTGTGTTATGTGTTATATGTATGTGTTAGTCCGGGTCGACTAGAGAAACACATCCAGGGAGACTCATATGTGTATAAGAAAGAGCTTTATATAAAAGAGTAATTGTATATTGAGAAAACATCCCAGCCCAGTCCAGATCAAGTCCATTAGTCCAACATTACCCCATATGTCCAATACTAGTCCATAAATTGCTCTTTAGACTCACAAAGCCATACAATGATGCCGAATGCAGGAAGATCACAGGCCAGTGGGTGGAAAGTCTTGTGGATCCAGTGGCTGTGGAAGCATCTCAGCACTGGTGTGGGTCTCCAGGTAGCTACTCCAGCTCCAGGGATTTGGCTCCATCAGTGTGTCTCCATGTGGCTTGTCAACAGGAATGTCTCACAGGGAGAGTGTGTGTCCCACCTCCAGGGAGGAAAGCAGGAGAAAGCCATGCCCACACAGAAGTCACCTTGGCTATGACCTGATTGACAGGATAGACTCCACCTCTTCACTCAGTTGACAGGAGATTATGGAACTGCAACAATGTATGTGTGTGTATCCCAAACTAGATGGTAATTCCCAGAGGGTGAAATTTGTGTTTAAGTTCATTTGATATTGCTACCCCTCAATGGGACACTTATTATAGTGCATTATATATGCAGCAGCACTTCCTAAACATTGGATGAACTGATGCAAAAAGCATAAGCAAAAATGAGTTTTAAAAGTAGCAATTTATATTTTATGTATACTCACTTTTTGATTACTAATATGCTTTGAATGACCTTCACTCATTCAATAAGCAAACATTAAATACTTCCCATGTACTAGGCACGCTTCTAGGAAGTAGGAATCCATGACCCTGGTTATATGATGTTTAGATCAGTATTGGGACACTGAAAAGTATGTAGATACAATCAGCATCATGAGGACCACTGAAGCCTGGTTGGTGATTGAGTTAGTTAATTGTGCCAGCCTGGCCGATAATCACATGTGGGGCTAATTGAAAGGCGGAGGGATAAATGGGTGGTGAAGCCTCGCCTTTCTAGTTCTCAGGTCTCTTGTTTTGTGATGGTTGCACCGGGTGCAGCTGCCTTAGCAGTTCCCTGCTTCAGCTTGCAAGATTGACTTCCTACAAGACATCCCCAAGGAGAAGCTACATGGACCTATCCCGATGCAGCCCTGGGTGCTGGAGCAGCCGTGTGGAGACCCCTGCTAGTGCTGAGATGCTTATTCGTTCACTGACTCAGCTTTCCTCCTGCAGTTGGCATCATTGCCTCTGTTTTGTGAGGTGGAGGACTTTGTGGACTGGTGTTGGGTTAATGGGTTAATGTTTGACTTGTGGGCTTGGGCAGCATTGGGTTGGGATGTTTTTGTGATGCACATTTTCTTTACATAAAACTCTCTCTTATACATGAGTTGCTGTGGATTTGTTTCTCCAAAGTACCCAGACTAATACAGTGAGCTAGAAATTTCTACCTCTAGGAAGTGGCATTTAAGCTGACACTTGGGGAATGAGGAGGAGTTTGTTGTATCGAAAAAGAGGAAGGTATGTTAAAACAACAGTGATATAGCTACAAGAATGGCTAACACCTAACCAACCGATAGTACTAATTGCTGATGAGGACGGGGAGCAGCAGGAACTCTCATGCATGGCTCATGCACAGTTCGACAGCTTCTTACAAAGCTAAGCAAGGTCCTGCCACTCAATCCAGTAATCGTGTTCTGAAGTATTTATCAAAATGCATCGACAACTATGTCCACATGAAACCCGGCACGCAAATGCTTATGGTAACTTGATCCATTTCACCAAAATCTGGAAGCAGCCAAGATGTCTTGCAGTAGGTGAATGGTTAAACAAACTGTGATGCACTCATACAATAAAAAAGATAAAGCCATCAAAGCACAGGACGTGGGTGAATCTTAAATGCACATTTATATTAGTAAGTGAATTTTTAAAAAGACAACCTGAAAAGGCTACAGACTGTATGTTCTAGTTGTAATTCTTAAAAAGGCAAAACTGAGACACAATAGATCAGTAGTGTCCAGTTCAGATTCAGGTACATGAGGTTGAATAGGTGAAGCATAGGACAATTTTCAGGATCGTAAAACTATCCTAGATGATATTATAATGGTGGATACATGAGATCATGTATTTTTAACATGATTTACAACAAAGCAGTAAACTTTTATGTATGCAAAATTTTTTTAAATCCCTTATGAGGTCTGAGTTTCCAGGATGGAATGTAGAACGTTCCACTGTCTTCTGGCTTGCATGGTTGCTGCTGGGAAATCTGCAGTCATTCCAATCATAGGCCCTCTCTACGTAATGCGTCACTTTCCTTGCTCTGTACTTAATATTTTATTAATCTTTGGTTTTCAACAGTTCGGTTATGATATTTTGGACTTACTTTCCTTTTAATTTGGCTTTTTGAAAAACTGGTGTTTTTGTTTTGTTTGTTTGTTTGTTTCCAGCTTCTTGAATCTGAAAAATTATGTCTCTTACTAATTTGGAGAAATTTTAGCCATTAACTCTTCAAAAAGTTTTTGCGCATTTTTCTCCTTCAGAGACTGAACTGACCCAATCTGATGGTGTTCTTCTGCTACTGCTTCATAAGTCCCTGTGGTTTTGTTCCGTCCCCTGTGCCGGTATTTTCCGTTCTCTTCCTCACTTTGGATATTTTCTTTTGATCGTACTTCAAATTGATGCTCTTCTTTCTGTCATCTCTCTTCCACCACTGAGCTTCTCTGGTGAATAATTAGTATTTTTTTTCAGATACTAATGTACTTTTGATTCTAATGTACAAAAATCTTGAAAGCCAGGGAGGGAAGGGGTGAAAATGAGGAGCTGATGCCAGGGGCTTACACAGAGACCAAATGTTTTGAGAATGATGAGCGTAACGAATGTACAAATGTGCTCTATACAATTGATGTATGTATGGATTGTGATAAGAGTTGTATGAGCCCCCAATAAAGTGATTTTTAAAAAATCTTGAAAACCACTGGCTTATGCCCTCCAGGCCTCAGTGCCATCACCTAAAGCTGAAAAGGTGGGACTGCTGATGCCGGCTTTCCCTTCTCAAGTGGTTTCTGGCAGGAGGATGTGCCCGCTCAGAGTTAGCACCAAAGGTCACATCTAGCTACAGTCAAGACCAACTAAGCGAAGAAGTTCTATTACCAGACAAAGCAGTGTGTTGGCATCCAATGTACCACCAACAGTCAAGAAGGCTGTGCTAGACGTTCTCATGATCTGCGTGTCTGTGGCCTGTGGCACATTGTCCCTGAACTGTCCCTGAAGGGATGCAGACACATAGTCACTGACTATTGGGCAGGTCCTAAATGCTAGCTGGAGGATGGTACCAAGGGTCAGGGCATCAGAGGAGAGGAGGAGTGGTTATGGAGGAATAACAGATTCCTTATCTTAAAATATACCTTTAAATGAAGGTACCATATACAAATCTTGTAGAAATCTACCTTTCCCATATTATGTAGGAATTTTTTAAAATCAATTTATTGGGGCTCATACAATTCATCACAATACATAGAACAATTGTGTAAAGCACATCTATACATTTGTTGCCCT